TCAAAATGGCTGACTGGCGGCCATTTTGTTTTAATGATTGGGCTTATAGAGCCGACTCTTAAAGGCCCAGGTATACTATAAATACGCTCCTAAACAATAGGGATTATTTCCTTGCTTGTCACGCTGTAGTAAACAGCTCCAGCCAAGCTTCGGTAAAAACATGTTTTCTCGAACTTACAGGTCGATTATGTCGTGCCAAAGTGGATGCATGTGACTATGAATATCACAGCAGTGACTGTGTGTAATATTTATGACAATAAATTGTGTACGAGCTGAGATTTTGGTGGATAAAAGTAAAAAACATGAACCGGGGAAAGGGATGCGCGACTAATCTTGAATAATTACTACTGTCAATCAAAGTCACGTGATGCTGGACCGCTGAAACAGGATGCGTCATAGGCTATGCAAGTGATTAACAACACTCAACACTTAGAATAGCCACACCTCCAATTCACACTTGCCCGGGGCAAGTGAATTGGGCCTTTAAATGCTTTGACTGATTATATTCAAATTTTATATATTCGTTATACATCATGTGATATATATACATGTATTCAAAATGGCTGATTTTGAATGCTGTTCCAGAGCAATATCTCTAAATAAGGACAAGTACTTGTTTGATGATCAGATACAAATGTCAATCATTTTAATGTTAAAACATAGTTGAACTCTGGTGACCTTGCCATTTGTTATATAATATAATTCCCTTTAACATAGTTTGTTTCAATATAAATATACATTGTCATAATTAATTTTGAATACAAAAAAGTTTTGGGGTTGAACTAACAGTGGGGAATCAGTCTACCGAATGTCCTTTAAAGATGTAAATATCTTACAAAAACATTGGTGCCTTATTTGTTTAATTATTTTAAGGGACATAATTTCCAGCTTTATTCAAAGTAATTCAGATATTTTAGTATAAAAACAAATGCCTCATTGCAAAAAAAAAGTGCTGCATTTAGACGTGAATAGATTCATAAAACATGCAAGATAACAGAAAATCTTAGCTGGCTTTTGTCCAAGTATTTTGTACAGGTGTCTGTCAAAAATTAATGATTCACTGAGACAAATATGAACTGCCTCATTGTGTGACTACTGTATTATATGAAAAGTAAAAAAAAAAACACCCTTTATGAATAGCTATCATGTTGCAAGCTCTGCTTTAAATAGTTAGTTGGTGTCCAGTGGAGGGAGAAGTCAACAGTACTGTTGCCTCCTGAGAACCTACATCTTCAAACACTGCAATCTTTGTTTGAGTGAGTTTTTAA